ATTCTAAGTAGCAAAAAGTGTTTGGCAGGTGCTCTGTTCATCTTTGTTTCTGTTTGCTGCTGAGCCCAGATGTCAGCAGCACATATAAAGACATCTGCCCAGCCAGCCATCTGAAAGGCGCTGATCCCAGAGGACAGGATTCACTTACTGATGACAGGTTGGATAAAAAGTAAAGTGCTTTATTGGTTTGGGACTCATCATTGGATGGCTGCCACTTCAGTAGTAAGATAAAAAAAAAAAAAACTCTCAACACGCCTCATTTGAAATTAATATCTGAAAAAAATATAAACATTGAAATGTCAAAAAGTTAAACTGTAGTTTAAGGATATATAAAGGAAAAGTTTCGATTTTCTTTGATTTTTACATATTTGTTTTTTATTAAGAGACAATTCCTTCCATGTAAGTTTCCTAATAGATATTGAACTTAATATGTAAGCTTTAAATGTGATCAAATAATTTTTAATTATGGCTGCTATGTGGAAGCTTTGGCTCTTTAAAGAAAGTGATAAAACCCTAAAATCTTACATTTAGATATAAAAAAATCCATGCATGATTATATTAGCTAGCATATTTGGAAATGCTAAGCTAATTTGAACCCGATGACTGAAGACGGAATTTTCAACAGTTGAGTAATTTATCCTCAAAAATCTCCATAAATCATGGGATTTACTGTCTGTAAAGTAAAGACAGGCTCTAACTTTACTATAGAGTGGAACAAAAACAAAAAAATAAATAGTAATTATTGTCTTATACGTCATTGTTGCACATTGCTGCAAAAAGGCAAAACAGATGAGGGCTTCAGACAACTATTGTGAGCAGGAGACTAAATGACCCCTTTGAATGGCGTAACCACACCCCAGCTGCTATACACTAACATGCACTAACCACATCAAAAGGGCTTCGAGGGGATATCACTACATGATGGGGGAGGAATGCTGCAGAAAAATGCCTGAAGTGTTGAAGTGATGAGTGAATGTTTGTCTACAAACATTTACTTACAGCCCCTGCGGCTTCAGGTTTTACATAATCTTGACAGCTGACAAACCAAGTAGGGACCTACACTTGTAGAAAGCACAGGGACGACAACGGTAATAACAAGCCTGGGTCAGCTCGGGAAGAGCGTGCCATCATCTGCACAACTGTCATAACACATGAACCACAGTGTTGCAGAACCTAAAGGTAGCAGCAGATGTGTATAACCACTAAAGCAATCTTCATAAATGTTGAACAACAAATTTCCTTTAGCTAAGAAATATATCAAAGCAAACAGTTTTCTGTAAAAAAAAAAAAGTAATTTTACACTCTATTTGTAGTTTTTAGCCTTACCCTTCCAACTTTCTTTACGCTATGACCTCAATTTGGCAGTTGCAGAACAAAAAAATAAGCAGCTCTGAGTTTATTTTCACTAAGGCTCAACTCCCATCACAAGTGTTGCCTTTGCTCACACAGCAGCTACAGTAGCATCATCTGGTGCCAATCAGGAGGCAATCAAACTGCCTTAGAGTTTACAGACCAATAGGCTCCAGTAGCTGAAGGATCAAGGTGTGGGGGCTGCTATGTACTAATCAGCATCAAGGGCCCCATCAATGGTGGATATCACTTACAGTGTGAAAAAATTCTGCTGGACCCAAATGTGCAGCAAGGTTAGGGAGTCATGATGGCTGCGTGGATACCAATCAGCTGGGGTCAAAGGCAGATTGGCATCAAATAATGGAACTTACATTGCTTTAGACAGAGCAGCTGATTTAACATCAAAGCCCACATATCTGTGTAAATCAGCAAGATTTTGGCACTACATCGATTTTTCGGTTATTTGCTCATCAGTACAGTCATAGGAAGATCCAAGATCAAGCATGCTGCCTCTAAATGTTTTAAGAGGGAAAGTAGCAGCTGTCATATTTTTATTGTTTTTATATTTAATGATGATTAAGAAGGCAAAATAATAGCCATTATGCCTTTGAATGCTGCAGAGGCTGTGAAGGGTGGCTTATTTTCCCCACAGAATGTCCATGCGTCAAGCATAATGAGCCCTTTAGAGAAGCCACTATTGCTTTTAATATGAAAAGGGTTATAAAGCCATTTCTAAACAATTTCAATTAAATCATTCTTCAATAAGAATTGTTATTCTCAGTTAGAAATTGTTAACTTTGCCAACCTTCCCAGCAAATTCATCACCAAATCACTGCATAAGATTTATAGAAACATGGCAAAAAAACTTAAAGAGCTTTATTACATGTTCAGCATGAGAACCACAACATTTTACCCCGGGCTTATTTTTAAAGGAAGCTTTTTTCATATGTATCTACTGATGATTTCAAAAACTAGTATGAACAAACTAAAATTATAATAAGAGCTTTTTTGCAAAAATTATTGTGTTAAAAACTCCTGAAAGGGCTCTGATAAAAGTTTTCTTAGACAGTGTGACAACTGTGACATTGAACACGAGTTGCTGGGTTTGATGTTTTGTTTGTCAAAAAAGTCCCATCAACATAAGTTGAGTCCCAAATTTAAAGGAAACCAAAGTATGCACATTCAACCTGCAAGAAAGATTTACATATTAAGACCTATAATTTAGGGTCAATCCAAAAAGTAATAACTTGGTACCAGTAGCATTTAAAGCTACTAAGTTAATGAAAGGAACAACAATCTCAAGCAGACCAACAACTCTACAACAGAATACTGCAGGAACAGAAGAATCAAAGGTTTGTAATGGCCTAGTTAAAATCCAGAGTTTAACTGGATTTAAATGTTTCGGCCACATGCCTTTTAACGAGTTGTTTTGAGATGAATGCATGGAACATTTACAAAAAAAAAAGGAAAATAGAAAAAAAAAAAAACATTTGTCAAGTCAATGATGCTTCAGCGACAAGCTGTTCATAGTGTAAAATTCTGTGATTAGTTTCCTGTACCTATTCATGGTCATGGACGCTTTCCTTGTTTAACTGAGGTTGCAGTTGGATGTTTAGATGAAACAGTGATTAATTTGATGATAGATGAAGAACAGGAGGAGAGATGGGTAACATGATATTTTGCCCATATTTAAACCAGAAATATTGGAAATTTTTCAAATCATGTGTAATCCAAGTGTCCCCACATTTTGATGCCATTCAGTATGCTCTGTATTTAAGTATAGTAAATTAAGAAAGTTAACCTGTAATATTAGAAGTTACACACAGAGTCTTAAGCGTTTTTTTTTTTGCATACCACATCAGCTTTGCTTTGTATATATTATATATAGTATAGAAATATTTCATCTAACTTCAATAATGGGAAGTCTACAAAATTAATAGAAGCTTTATAAAAATATGTATTATGTAGAGACATCATAGCTAATAATGAAGTTGCTAAAGTAAGATGACAAAAATCACTGTCAATTTAGACAGCTGGACACTACAGTTATGAAGGAACCTGAAGTTTTGATTTGTTAAAATGCTTTACTTGGAGCTAATCCAAGTATTTCTGCTAAAAGAACGTTGACATACAAGGAATTTCCTGTCATGTGGAATTATCTGAAAAACAGCAAAATATTTCCCTGTTTTACTTCAGCTGCGTAACCTTAACAATCTGCTGATAAAACACTTGTTTCTGGTGGGCAAGCCAACTCCTGATGTGAGAACATTCCTTTTATGCCCTAAACATAATTCAGTGACTGTAAAGGATCTTAATTACAGATTTCTGTAGATCTACTTTTAAGATTCCAAACTCCTTTTTATATAAAGATTTTGCTGATATCTGTCCACTTTTACCCAGAAAGGCTAATTTCTTACTGCATTGTCATCTTGAATGGCAGAATCTCTTCGTGAACTAAAACTCAGACTGCACAGGATGATGACACAAACTAAATAAAAAGTTGAAAACTTTTATATTATGAAATTATAACCATGTTAAAGAGGATAAGCTTACTTTTTCTCATTCTTCTTTAGAAAATAGCTTAAACTGGACCAACAGCATTTGTGAATTCTGATTTTCATTTGTATTTAAATCTGGACTTTGACTGGGCCATTCTGTCATGACTGATTTGGTATAAATCAAGTTAAATTCCATAGTTAATAGTCTGAAATGGCTGTATTTACTAATAGGTGGTTCAGCTATGTAGAAGCTTGATAACAATCAATCTATGTGATTCAGGTCAATAAATCTCTAAAACTTTGTGTTGGTCTAGCATAAAACACATTGAAGTCTGTGGTTAAAATTAGAGATGTAAAAAAATTATCAATTTGGGATTAACTGTTGATTAATGGTTTAGTAGATTGCAATTTGTTCCATCCAATTAATGAATATTCTACACTTTAAAGGAATTTGTTTCAGTATTGTAATGTTACTGTTGTCCTCTAGTTGGTGCCACTTTTCATTCTTAATCAGATGCTTAATGTGATGCTGGAACAGGAGACATGTTATCGATCAAGAGTCCAGACTGGCATTAATGATACTTTTTAATGGTGACATGGATGCAGAATTTCCTTTATGCAGCTTTTTTTCTGCAATCAGTCATCAATGCTTCAAGTTATCACCTATATAGCATCCATTTAGCTGCGCTGCATGGCAGAGCAGCGTTGAAACAAAGTGGCAAATAGTCTGACAGCAAGCCAGACTGAGATATCCTGTCTTAGTTTTACATCTCTGTATACTGGAATAAAAGGTGCTTCACATATGTAGGTTCTTGTTTTGTTACATCTTATAAATATGTTTAATAATGTGTATGAAAACTTTTTTTTTGTTTATTCAGGCAGTACTTAAATTATTAAAATATAATGAAGTACTATTCTTTTTATTCAGCATATTGTAAAAAGATATATTCATCCTTTCATGATATGAAACAATCCTGTTGATACAAGACAAAACTCAGGTAAAGGAAAAAAACAATACCAATACCTTGTTTATCAATCAATAAGATCAATATTTGTTCATCAATAATTTTCATGTCCCATTGTGATAACATAAACACTTCAAAGAGAGTGAATGCCTTGCATAGGAAACATGTCAAAGAGGTTTCTACGTACCGTACTGGCAGCTGGGCCCATTAAATCCTGCAGGACAATCGCAAAGCTGGTTAGATCCTTCCCGACACCGGCCCCCATTGAAGCACACTCCATAGCTACACATTGCTGCGTGAGCACATGTGGACAGATGAGGTGCAAGAAGAGAGGAGAGAGAACAAACGTTTGAGAGAAGCGAAGACACCTGGCTGTTTTCATGAGACACTGACATCTGTGCCTTCAAACACTGACCGCTTTCTAACAGAGACATATCATCAGCCTGTTATCGTCAGTCTTAAAAGGAACGTTGACTCTTCTCAATTCACACTAACCAATGTAAGAAGAATGCACCTCTTGGCTTACAAAGAAATCAGACCTTTGGCTCACTAGACGATCAGAGTTGGACATGATTAGCAGCAACAGCTTAAAACCTGCTTACAGATTTTAAGCTGTCGTTTTGACCTTTGTTTTATACTTTGAATTAAGTGTTAAAAACATTCATATATAGATATATATTTACATTCCCACCCAAGATAAATATACTTTTAAAAGATGGAACATAAACATACAGAATTTACTGAAGATGAAGCTGTATGATTTTGAAATTTAAAGCCTAAAATTTTATACAAACACGCACTTTTTTCGTAAGATGGAGGTAATTTGTGTTTAGGGTTGTTGTCCAGCTAGAACATCTAACAATATCCAAGCATCAACCATCTGATCCAAAATGTCACTTTTAGATTAAAGGTATGGTTAGATGTTGATGGACAAACCAGAAACCATTAATGTCCAGGTGAACCATCATACAGAAAATGCTGCCAATGTTAGTGGCACTGCCAAGTCCTTGCTAGAGAAAACCACCTACTACAAAACTGAATTATTTAAGCACACCTAGTACATCTGAAATTGGCAGCTACTGACAGACACAAGCCAAGTGTCAAGTTTTATGGTGAGAGGGAAACAATAGGAGCTGAAATACATGGATCTTAAACACCAGAAAAGGAATTGGAATTGAGAAAACAGACATTAAGCTCTTTGTTTCACAGTGACTTTAATCCTATGGGAAATTTATTTAAAAAAACAAAGTCTTTGAAGAGAAACAACGATACCCTGTATAATGTGGGAAAATGAAAGCCAAAAGTATGTCTGATGCTTGCAGACATCTTTAAAAATGGCCGGATGTTATGCAACTTACTGTCATTTAACCAAACTCTAACTCTGGTATGTATATATACTAAAGAATGTGTGCAGTTTGAGCCTGTATGGACTTAATAAAACTTCCACATATAATAAAACATCACTTTTAAAGAATTGTTGAAGATATTGTATCATCAGCCCACCATGAAACACGAATAGTTCTAATAAATCACATAAAACTCTAATCAATACCATATTCATGCCTATGGTGTGTTTATTTTGATGCTTATAGGGACTGTACGCTACAATGATGAACTACAACTGTGACTGAGTAATTTAGAAGGTAAAAATCCTCTGCTACAGGGTGGGTACAGCTCATCCGTTTCACGGAACAAAGGAACCTGTCTCCATAAATCTCAGAGTCACATTGTCCATACTGGTAACTGTAAAATTTAAAGAATCTAAGGGAGATCAAGGCTGTTATCCTCTATGTGAATTCCACTCTAAGGTTTATACCTTCCCTTTTCATAAATCTTTATAACACTCACATTAGTCATGACAGCCTGCTTGTATAATACATGTGTGCCTGAGTCAGCCTCCTTAGATGAGGCTGGGATTTATGTTGGGACTTGGACTCTTCCATCCCATCATGGTCGTTCATGTGAACATCAATAGGAGGAAAAAAGATAATTATGAGGATTGGGAATGGAAATCTGTCCTTGCATTTTTTTTTTTTTTAGATTTGTTGGAAAGTCAGCTTATATTACCATCATCTGTCAGATTTATTTCTGTTCATGAACTCTAATCAGAGCTAACATGGGCAATCATTACAATGGTTGCTGCTTATTTTAATCCGGCTTTACTAACCTTATATGGTCTGAGAAAAGGATTTGATTCTTCAATTATAATTTTAAAAAACACTTAACATTTGCTTTTTACTTCTCCCAAAGTCCGACTTCAAACAAAAACTCCCAAATGCTAGGGTTTTGTTCTATTAACATTTTACAGACTCCCAACACCATGTTTGCAATCAGTACTAAGCATTAATTATGAAAGTATGCATATACTAATAAAATAATATATATCTGACATCTATTAATTACAGATGAAATAATGTGTAATGCTGCATGTCTGTCTAGAAATGTAGTCATAACCAAGACTAAAGTTAAACCATTCACTCTCTATATTTCTACATCTACTTAAGAAAGCTTTAAAGCCCATTTTACCTTTTTTTTTTTTAGTTTTGTACGGCACTAATGGCTCATTTCTATGACAGTAGGCTGACAGGAAGGGGGTATGAGAGAGGGGGAGAGACATGCGGCAAAGGAATTCGGATTCAAACTCATGTCGTCCACGTCGAGGACTAAGGCCTCCATACATTAGTCGTGTCCACTAACCACTCAGACTTTGCCATAAAAACTTGTACAAACATCCATGTGTTTTGGACAGGATTTTATATGATAGACACAAACAAGGCAAGCATAATCAAGTGAAAGGATAACGTTACATGGTTGTAGAATCATCACACAAATTAGAAATCTGTAAAGTGTGGCCTGTTTTAGTATTTGGCTCCACTTTGACATCATACTTACCATAAATTTGTTTTGATTAAATTCAGAGATGTGAAGTAAGGAAGTACAAATACTTCGTTACTGTACTCAAGTAGATTTTTCTGATATTTTTACTTTACTTTACTACTTATTTTTATGGCGACTTTTTACTTCTACTCCTTACATTTTTACACAAATATCTGTACTTTCTACTCCTTACATTTTAAAAAATTGGCTCGTTACTTTAGTTTTGAATCATTTCAATGGAGTTACCGTTATTATTTTTCACGTCATCAATACCAAATTCAATCTAATTGGATGGGAATCTACGTTGCATTTGACGCACCACTACAAGATGAATCGACAGATTCGGCGGTATTCATTGGCAGCAAATCATTGCAGCTTGGTGGTGGCGGCGTTAGCATAGTAGCATGGATGACGAGATGATTGAAAATGAACACAACGGAGATCTAGTCCTATTGGCAGACATCCATTTAAAATGTAGGCAACAGCATGAAAAAAGTGGTTTCTACTTTTACTTTTATACTTTAAGTAAATGTACAGGCCTGTACTTTGTTACTTTTACTTGAGTAAAGAAGTTTAATCAGTACTTCCACTTTTACCAGAGTATTTTTTCACACAGTATTTTTTCACAAGTATCTGTACTTTTACTCAAGTATGGAAAGTGAGTACTTTTGCCATCTCTGATTAAATGACAGTTTATAGACTTATGCGTACACTTGCAACTGTAATTTCAACAAAATCCCAGTCAAATACATTAAAGTCTATAAGATATCAAATTGTGAAAATGTTTAAGGCATTATGCCATGTTAATTAGGCACTGTAAATGTCAAATTCCAACAATACAAATTTCTTTTGTCTGAAATTAACAAACTGCTTTTGAAATCTAAATTAACTAAGTGAAAAACATGCAAAATGTGTATTTTTTTAAGGTTATTAAGATAATCCTAATAATTCACAGGTACAATCTTCCACCTAATAACTTCCAGTCCATTTTGACTATGCAGCTACAAATAAACACAATAAATTAACAAATCTGTTCCATTTCCCTCAGATTATGTAATGTGAGGGAATTTTAATAGGGTGAAAGTAGGTGATGACAGATAAACAGTTTCAACATGATCCAAATATTTTAGAACAATGTTACAACCAGCTGTGAGGGATCAAACTAATGAGACATTCCTAAAAATCTTTTTAATAGAAAAAAATCTGCAGCTCCTCTGTAGGAGGTCAGAAGTCTGTCAGAGTAACTGCTGGGCCACATGACAAAGGGACAACCAGGGGAATGCAAGTTCCCTCGCTTAGGGACATAAGACACAAGGGATTGTTGGCAACTAACCAGGGCATTTTTAGGCAATCCCCTACCCCAGCCCCATCCGCTGCTTAATCTTCACTGAAACAAATCCTTAATGTGGGAAGCAGCGTTCCATAAAACCCACTTGTCTGTTCCTCTGGCCACTATGTTACAAAGACACCTTCTTTGAGAGGATTAGCAGCATCCACAAAAAGAAGACAAAGAGAGGAGCAGAGGTCACCAACTGAAGCAAAGAGCAAAAGAAACAAGTCAGTGTTGTAGGGATGGCTTCTGAAAGTTATATCCACATCATCACAGAGGAGAACTTCTGTTTGTTTAGGATATCTTGGTCTGTTTAACCTTCCTGATTGACGCTAAAGGAGAACTTATTCAGAAAGGTTTACTTGCACAGACCTTCATGAGGGGCTCACCTTGATGCCATAACTGATACACCCATATTTAAAAACTGTACTTCAAGGTCTGAAGAAAAATAAAAATAAAGAAATATTGTGAAAATAAGGGCTAAACATGATAGAAATGTTGTGATTCTCTGAATAACTAACAAGCAGATGCATAAGTCAGGGTCCACTTCATGGCAGCGTGGACCACCATTCAATCAGGGCCTTTCTTCAACATCATAATAAATGACCTGAATGTATTTTATTTAACAAAGCATTTTGATTTAGGGTTGCATAAAGTTGCAATCATTAATGAATGTGACCATTATTCACATTTATTTTCTTACATTCGTGGATAAATCATCTGATTCACCATTAAATAAGCCCAGTTTTAATCATTTATCAATGTTTACGAAAATGTTTTAGCACTTGCTGGAGAGACTATGTTTCTCTCCTGGCCTGGGAGCGCCTTGGGGTTCCCCCTGGAGGGTAACTGGAAGAAGATGGCTGGATGGGTTCAGAATTCAAGTCAAGTTACAACAAATTAAGTGTTTGGACACATGGTAATAATGTAAGAGAAACTACTCATGGATGAAAGGGCAGAAAAAAGAAAACAAAGTCCCAGATAGGTGTTTTAAAACCTAGACTGTCAGGTATATATCATATTGGGTAAATGTTTGTAATGCAAAAACTTTAAGATAATTTTTTTAGTTAGCAATATATGACATTCATCTGTCAAAGCGCAGAGGGCTGCCATGTAGGCTTTAGTAATTTTTTAGTAAAAAATGTTTATAAAATGGTATTCTCCTTCATCACATTTGGAATAAAGGGTGATACAGACAACGTATAGCCAAATTAGTCAGTTATTCTGCAGGGCAACAGGTAATCATGCTGCACCACCAATGCATGTCCTTTTCTTTATATCAAAAATTTAAAAGTGGGGACTGCACAGCCTCATATATATATTGCAGCAACAAGTTTTTTTTACTTTTCTGTTGGTACAGGCAGCAATATCAATCATCAACATTTCTGATATTTTTATTTTTAAATAATGGCTATTATGGCCCTTTGTTACCAGCACCAACTGAATGATACCTTTTTTTTTAATCTTTTTTTTTTACAAAAGGTCCTGTGTCAGGTTGCTGGAGATAATTTATTAGTTTTCCATCTTTTCCTCACACATTCAAAAAAATGTTTCCAGGTTTTAGGGACTGAACAGAAAATATAATTTAAACATCATCTAAAATCTGAAGAAAATCTTTCAATATAGATTATATAAGGATAGGAATATAACATTCTTTATTTTCCAAGCAGAGCGTTTGTCATATTTCTAAAATTACGATAAAACTGTAAACATTATCAACCTGTTAGCAGACTTAACCTTGAATCATGGGACTTGCTAAATATAAAATTTCACTTTTTCCATAAGCAGTCTTCTCTGCATTGCTTCAATACAGTAGCATTCATCCACAACTGGAGCTACAGTAGAAAGCACTGACCTGATGTTTAAAGGCTTTTTCTACATGTTTTCTTTGGAGACAGTTAAATCTTTGGTCGATTTGACACTCTGCCATTAGACGAGTTCACCCAGCTGTCAAATTCAGTTCTGAGTGAAACCTAAGCTCTTCTAGAACCTTGTATTTGACAGGAAATTAACTGAAGGTTTAATGTCGCTATCAATATGTTTCTGACTCCATCCAAGTTGTTTGCCATCATCCACTGTGTATTTCCCATGTGGCTTTATAAAAAGACCACCCATGGACACAGTCAGAACCATTTCCTCCTTTTCTAGCCCAAGTACACATTTATGCGCCTTTGCTAGTCTCGTCACAAAGAAAGTTGGTTCCTATTCAGCAGTTAACAAGGACGACAAACTGGAGAAGCCATTGTCCCAGCAACTCAGCCCCTGCCACAAAATGCATTGTGTCATCCAATCAGCATGACTGCTTGCCTTCAGTCCTCTGGCCATTCTAACTCATCCTGGCTGCTTGCTAAATGAAAAAGGTTTAACGCATTAATTGACTGACCCTTGAAGTGGAGGAAGTCGCTATCACAAAGTTAAGGGCCCTAACCTAGAGAAAAACAAGACACTGAGCAAATTGGAGCCCTTTCAAGACACACAAAGGACACCTCCATTGTATAACCCAAAACTTCATTCTGACTCCACATCTCAAATACTAGACTTTTCATTGAAAAAAAAGATGTTAAAACATCTGTACATGGTTAAAAATGTATATAAATGTTTAGAAGCACAGTTCTAACAACTTATAGATCTTAGTAAAGTGCTCTGAAGTATGTAAATAGTGTGCAAGTTAAATACGCTTTTTAAAAATAACACTGGCTTGAAATTACAAGATAAAAGAGGAGCGTGTATTACCTCAATGAAGGAAGGCTTTATGTTTCCTGGGCTGTGGTATATTTCTCCTCCAAATGAATGACTAATTACACTTGTTTCCAAAATGCCTAGCCTCATAACTACCAAGGCCACAGACTGCAGACCACATCAGCTTCTCAGCAACTTGTGGATTTAACATTAGAGAAAAAAAAGACAGTTTACACAAATATATAATTTTCTTGAGCCAGAAATTTTATCACATCTAAGCCTTATGCAAATAACCAATCTATACCTAAACCTAACGTGAACTCAATTTAACATACTTCCCTACATGTACTTTTGTCCACAATGTAAAATATTCCAAGGAAATTGATTCAAACTGTCCCAAGAAGGTAATAAGATTACACTTTACAATAACCATCAAATCCATCATTTATAAATGGTAAAGAGCATTTATCAATGCTTAACAGTTTATAAATGTTTGTTCTATTTGTAAACTACATCTGAACCAATTAATTATAAAAGGTATAAATATTATTTATTAAGGTACTATGTCCACTGGTGTTAGGGTTAGCGATAAGCTGACATGGCAGGGCAATATGATCTAATTAGCTTTTATAATTTTTTCCCCCAGCTTTTATTGTCATTACACTGCCACAAGTACAGAGCGACGAAATGAACTCTCTGCATTTAGCCCATCCCCTTGGGGAGCAGTGGGCTGCCATTGTGCAGCGCCCGGGGAGCAGTGTGGGGTTAAGGGTCTTTGCTCAGGGACCCCGAGTGGCAGTCTGTGGGAGTGAGGCTCGAACTCAAAACCTCAGGATTCCAAACTTTATGCCCTAAAACTAGGCCCCCCCTCTAAATGGCTTATATGCAGTTTATAAATGATTATCAAGCATGTTAATGATTAATAAATGTATCTTTACCCTTTATAAATTATGGTCATGATGGTTATTGTAAAGTGTTAAAGAAACCAATAATTGGCCACACATACACACACAAATTCTCATTTTGCAATAGGTAGTGGGAACCATGTGTTGACTCCCATTCATTCTTACTCATTTTAACTCTTTTTATGTAACCCTGACAATAACCCTAAACCTAACCATTAACGGTGCATACCTCATCCCAACCGTAACCTAAACTCAATTCATACCTTAGTTCTAAACCTAACCTCTGGCAAAATAGCTCAGGAGGACCACAAAAATGTATTTACTTTAGAACAACCGGACCTCACTTTGCTAGTAAAGTAAGAGAAACATTTCTCATTCAAATGGCAAAACAGAAACACCAACACACACTTCAAACGATTAGAGACAACAGAAAAAAAAGAAGAAATTACAAGACTATAAATCACTATTTCAGTCCAAAACACACCTATTCCTCCCGTTTGGTGGGTTTACTTCTGTTAATTCTATGCATTCTGAAAAAAAAGTATTTTATCATTAATACTTTTGGATCTGTAGGGTCCTGCAAAATACCAGCTATGCTGGTTACACTGTGCCTGCTGAAGCATGGTGTAAATAGCACATAGCAAACTGTGCAGGAGTGGGAAGCCTCTGATGTGAGCCTCTTTTAATCCAGGTTCAATGGCTCAGAGAAAAGGGTGATTTGTTCATCCCATCTTAAAATGCTGCCACCATCCTTGGTTACTGAGATAAAAGCCATGCCTCATCCCAAAGAGAGCAGCCATTGTGTAGCTTAAATACAGACAATGAACAGCATAGGGGAAAGTCTCTTAAAGGCATTTCTAATAGCGTGTTTTAAAACAAACCAGACTCCTTTCGGGAGAGTGCACTGCATTACTTTACTGTATAATTTAATACAATAACTCTGTTCTTGAAAACAAAGAGCTCTTTGATAGACACAATGATAGGATGTATGATGAAAGAAAACTCCTGATTTTTTTTTCCCAGCTCCCCATCCCATCCACCTTCCATTAGGGCTGGTTATTAACTATGAGTCAGTTACAAACAGAAGATCAAAACATGAGAAGTGTATTGTACACCAAAAAGCCAAGGGGACAAGCTGTTTACAGGGAAACTTTGCCAAGACTCTCTTCGTGGTATGCAGGCTGTCCGATCAGGATCACCGGTTGAAAAATCCCACCAAAAGAGCCTTCTATGTTTCAGCAGTGTAGAGCTAAGCTAGTACTTAAGGAAACAGGCTGCTAGGAAGAAGTTTGTTCAACAGAAATAATTCCCAGAGCTGCAATCAGGGTTCATATACAGGGTCTAGAAAAGTCTAAAAAAATCCTTTCCCAGGTGTGTAAGTATGTACACAAAAAGAGTATAGAAACAAGTTGTTCCTTCCATAATACATATCATTCCTGTTCTCTATGTGTAATATTCATCTTTCTAATTTCATTAGTTTTATGAGTTCAAACATCCGCCTGAAGCAGATTTTATGAATGCATTCATTACGACAATAAAACTAATTGAAATGGACCAAGATCTCTGGAGGGAAAAGTTTATATTTTAATATGAACTGAATACACTTTTAGTAAAACAAGAATCATTCAATTTATTTCTTATCATATAAATCATTTTCTCTAATGATTTGTTTAATTAGAAACAGTGCACATTAATCAGCATTAGTGCAATATGAGGCAATGCAAAAAATGCTTGAATTATCACAAAAATCAGCAGCATGATTCCTTTAACAACTTTTTTTTTTCTTTTAACCCTAAACCAGTTATGGGGTGTTTTAGAACAGGCAGACATTTAACCATCTTGAATACAGAATACATAAATACAGAAGTACTACACCACATACTTCTAAATCTAGTTTTTCAATCATCAAAAACAGGAGGTTTTTTTTTATAAAAAGCAAATTAGACCAAAGAAGGGTTATCCAATATATGAACAATTGTCAACAATCAGATGTGAAACTAGTTGCAGGGCTGCAACATCTCAAACAGGCCGTGGCACAAACTGTTTACATCTGCTCTGCTGTCTGGATGGGCACTCTTGGGGATTTTAGATATTTGTAGACTTTTTCTTTTCCCAAGCGCCTCTATTATCAATAATAAATTATTAATTCCCTCAAAGATGTACTTTAAAAATTCAAAGAAATCAAATAATTTAACATTGGAGGATAGAAAATGTATACACAGATACTTACGATAGAGACAACCTGCCTCTCCATTGAGCTGAGACCATCCAGGGCAACACTTGTGTACAGTGTGAAAATCCTGTTTGTAAACCTGTCTGTATGCTGTGTAATATGCTGTCCTGTAAACATGAGAAATATTCAGTTAAGAACTTTAAAAGGAATGGAAACAATATATATGGAGAAATATAAGGACTAAATATATAAATTGGTTCTCAGTAAATATTTTTTTTTTGTTGAAACAACAAAGTAATTCAGTTCTACAGAAAAAAAAAAAAGATTTAATAAAATTACATAATTAAGTTAATCTTTTTAATGAAATAACAGGAAATAAAAAATAAAAAAATCAAGAAACTAGCTTTAATCAGCCGTTGTTAGAAATTATATCAGCTGGTTTATTCCTAACTAATTTACCATAAATAAGTTCAGGCAAAAAAGTTAAAATAACACGAGTTGTCCCAAGGACCACTCACACAGAGTTTATAAATGCCGGTAATTATCAGCTATGATTTTGACATGAAAACAATAAATATTGCACTCAACTGGATAAGCCTCACCACTAGACACAATTGGTGTTCAAGGCTCCACTTCTGGAGAAAAAGCTGATGAATCCAATTTAAAGGAGCCTTTTTAAGAACAGCCAAAGAAATACTGAGAGCATGTAAACCTTTATCATAGTGAAGTTTACCGGGGGACGTTAATGAAATATGGTTATTTTTCCTTCACATTGCACTGGTAGACCATCTTATAAAACGGACGATAGATGGAGAAATATAACAGTATTTCATTGATAACCATCTGAAGTAAAAAATAAAAAAAACTAGGTTTTTTAAGCAACAGAAAAACTGAATTATTTACTTTTTGATTAATCACAATAAAAAAATTGTCTGGTAAGTTCTTAGACTCTGTTCTAAAGCTGATGTGACAAATCATAGCATGGGGGTGGGATTTTACAATTACACTAAAATTACCATCAATGCAACAGCTTCTTTCTGTAAGCATAGCAATCAATATTGCAGCCACAGTGGACAAATATTTTAAGAATGTTTTGTATCACATCCCCGTTGAGCTGGATATATCTTTAAAATTTCAACAACTAGCAGCTGTCAGAGATTTTTCTTTTTTTACATTTGTTGTTATCTGTAAAGAAACTGGAAAGCAGTTCAGAGAAAATGTCACTTTGATATCCATGTTCCGAGGTTAAATTAATGCACCATTTATTCTATTCTATACATAATTTAGAAATCCAGATCTTTTAATCAAGGCTACTTTATGTCATGATCTTCGCAGTGATGACTGGCCTGATTACTCATTTAATTCACCTGACTAGCTCCGCCCAGTTCTTATTACCGTTCTTATTACCGTTAACCTGCTTCAGCCTCTATTTAACCAGCCTTGAACCAGTCATCCGTGCCAGATTATCCAAGCCTTTGGTGAAAGTTTCTCTAGCATACCTAAGTGTTACTGATTGCCTGATCCTGGCCCGTTCCGCCTCTGGACCTCTGAGCCTGCCTGCCAGCCCCATTCTGATCTGTTTGCCTGACCTGTCCTCTGATCTCCTGGTTTTGAATTCTGAGCACGTCCTCAACACCGACTTTCGCATTGCCCTCTGGATTATCCTGCCTTTCCTCATCTGCCTAGTTCTGATCTCCTAGCTGTCCTCCGACCTCCAGGACTTCGGCGCCAGGGACTCTCTGGGTGGTTCCTGCCTCATCCTTCGGGCTCGGACTGAACGATAAGACCAGGTTAGTGACTCACATGTTCACAATCATCCTGAGCCAGACAGACATGGGCACTAACCTGTATTTTCCTCCTGCAGAGCTTCCTGCCTTAGACACTGACACTGTTCTTTACAGTTCCGTCTTAAATAAACATTTTGTGAAACCTAACTGTCTCCCTGCTTTGAAAACAGTCCTTTTGCTCTGAGTATGACATTATATTATGTTTGTACAAGAAGGATTTATCTTATCTTAGCAAAAGAAAAATAAGTAAGTGTTGCATCAATCAAAACTAGAATTCACAGTAAAATCTAAAAAAATAACTGGAGACCCGAAAAGTGGCAAGAACCTTCAAGATTTAATGAGCCTTTGTGTGGAAGAAAAGACTAAAATAACACCTAGGGATGCAAGACATGTCTTTATTTTGTCTAAGCTGGGAGTCTCTTCTTTCACTAAGTATATTTATGTAAGACTGTCAAATACTTCATTTTTGAAACACAAAACTTAAATTCAGGAATTCATTTTTTATGTTTTATTTATGCCTTGGAATAACTTGAAATATTAATGACCTGTGTTAGGATGTTAATACCTATAATGCTGTTAAAAAGGTAGTATACACTAACAAAAAATGTGGTCAATATTTTCCACTGCTGACAAAGCTGTGGAACTGAAATGAAATACATTTACTTAACTATTGAAGCATTTAATTTCAATCATGATCCCCCTTGCTCCTAATGGTCAGAGAATTGGGTTTCTAAGGTAGATTTGTGGACTAAACCTTTCCCAGGCTTGTAATGCTAAGGCCGTGCTGGGTGGAGGCTGTAGTTTAGCGACCCTCTCATTGCTCGACTCACATTATACATTTAGTTTACGGCACATAATTGCTGCTTTTGGTGCCATCAAAGGTACTTTTGACTTTGTGGACGTGGTAAATAATTCAGAGTGATGGATCAGGTGAACTCGCCTAAACCTCAGAAGGAAATGCTTCCACTTAAAGAAATGTCAGCAGCAAAGAGGAGAGTTAAATAACAGGTAAAGCCTCTGAAGAGGTAGCATTTACCTTGCATTTAACTCTAGAGCAGCTCTAAAGAGGAAGCCAGAAAACAGAAAGCTGCATCTCATCCTGTCTTGGATTAAAAATTAAGACGTCCTGGATAAAATATCAAAGTAGGCTTAAACATGTGACCATGCATAGTCCATGAATGAATGTTTTCCTCCTGCCAGGAGTCAGCAGGATACTAACGGCATCCCCTTCAGGAGATGTTGGATTTGCTTGTTTAAGAGTAGACTCACAGCCTTAGAGTGATGAAAGGGAAGAGCAGACACACTGCAAATGAACTGTGATACTCACCTCCTTTCGTATCCCATGCACCACAGTTGCCCTGCACAGCCTTGCTTCCACACTTTAACCATGCGTGTGAAGGCCTGCACACACGGCTGCCTCTGGGCAACCAGAGTCACCTCCCTCTCTGTGCACACATTGGGCCTGGAATGAAAAACAGCAGGGAAAATACTTAACGTCAAGATGTTGTACTGTGTTTCTACAGATGTATGGACGGCAGAAGGAGGAAATTTATGAAGGCTTCCGGGAGAGTTGTAAGAAAAGATAGATGGGCAAAGCTCATGTCAGACATTTAGTTCAGTTGTTGATAGAGTGATGCCTGGAAAGTAATTACCTGATTCTGTGAGACATCTTAAAGACTTAAGGAAAATTCCTTACTCATGTTTCAGAATGGTAAAGCCCAAAGACTTTCCTTACAATCTGAATAAGAAATTATGTAACAGACCGAGATAAGCAGTACATCATTGGAAATGGAAGAAAGATTTATATATTTTTTTAATGTTTTTTAATGAAGATCAAGTAAAGAGTTTTAAAACAAAGCTGATCAGGTAATAATTAACACTCTGAGCCCTGAACTTTTCGTAGACCTGAAAACAGAAATATCATCATGACTTAAAGCTTTAGTTTTATAAAACAACCAGTCATGCCTCTGTTAAGTCTGGAGGAGCTGCATCTCTTTTGGATGAATCTATTGACGGGGCAGCTATTAGTTCTGTACTCCACAAATCTGGTCTTTATCAGACAAATAGAAAGAAGAAAAACTTGTATGGAGTTTGACACAAGTCATTAGAGGCAAAGCCAGCATGCAAACCAAGGTACTGAAACTGAAGCTTTTAATGCAAAACCCTATGCCTGGTTAAAAACTATTGTTACACATATTAGCCTGAACGCAACATCCCCAAGGGGAACATGGTAGTGGCAGCATCATGCTGCAATGAGTTGGGAAAGCTGAAAAAGCTGCTTAAAGTTGATGGGTATATTAGTGGAGCTTAATACAGGGCAAATGTGGTAGATTAAACAATATATCTACTTAGATATCATAATATATTGCTGGAGAGAAGATAAATCAAGTGAAACTTGTTTTCACAAACAACAGAAAACAAAGATAGGGCTATTGCTACTGACTTAGCCCTCCAGAAAGTCAGTTTCCCATGTGGTTGCCCCAGAAATTAGTGCCACAATGGGCAGAGGAAAACACTCAGAGGTTGTCAGTTTAGGTCTTTTTCAAATTCAACTAAATCATTGTGTCTTCTCTCCAGGTCTTTCCAGGTTTGTGTACATAAAACACAGAAGAAGCTTGTCAGCCTAATCAAGGCAGCTCTCACCTTTCCACCTTTGAAGGTGATGCATTTGCTGCTCCAGGACATTTTAGCACCAGAGAGGACAGCTGCACTGCTATTTTTTCTTCTCAGCTAAAACCATTCAAATATGAAGGGAAACATTTGATTACCTTTAACTAGGGCAGGTGCTAATGTTTTAACCAGGGAAATATCCCATACCTAAAGCTAGAGCAACAGAGAAAATATTAGATCAATATAGATAGTTGTGTTATAATGGTCTAGTCAAAGCCCAGACCTCCATAGAGTTGTAGCTAAACTTGAAATTTGATTTAACCTGTCCAAATCTATCCAAAGCAATAATAATTTGCAAACGTTTAAGTTGCTAAATCTGCGAAGCTAACAGAGATGTAGTGTTGGCCTATCACATTAATTATTTAGTTTTAGAGCCCATGTATTTTTTCTCAAAAGTTTTAGGCCAGGTGCAATCAGACAAAGAAATAAGGCAACTTTTTCCTCCTTCAGGTGAAACTGTGTTCTAATCTGATATTAACTTCTTGCAGCAAAAAGTCTGTACAGGTCACCTATTTGGGAAGTCTAATCACAAAAAGTGCAACACAATCTTTAAAACAATTTCTTTTGTAAATAAACCTTCTAAGAAGCAGGTAATATTGGTATGTGTGAAGATCAGCAGTGATAACATCCAGCTGTTCATCTCATACACAATAGAAACCACTGACTCCTCCAGCTGTAACTACATATGATGGCATAGTGTCATGAAAGAACTTAATGTTCTCACATAAATGAAGCACTTGTTTATTGTTGTGAGGTTGAAACTACCTGTTACAGCACACTGTCTCTTTATTTGAGTGGCCAAACCCACTTCTAAGAGTTTGAGATGCATAAAGAGTGTGAAGTGAATAACTAATATCAAAGGACAAATGCATACAAGAACAATTATCTGCACGATACATTCATAATTTGAATGTATCATCATTAAAGAGGGGTGGGGATGCTAAGTAATAACTAATGAGCTATACTGCCATATTACCGGTAACTTTTCTCACAGAGTACTCCTTTGGTATTCATACTTGTGTTTATGCTCCATTAGATCATAGTAGATATGGTGGCTGTTCACACCATGCCAGGTATGGAGGGAGGTATCTTCCAGTTTAAGAATACATGCATGTTCAGTATGAGGGATTTCTACAAAGTTAACAACTCAGTGCAAACCAGAGTTCAGCATTACAACATGCTTATCCAGGATTGAATGCTGTTCCAGTCAGTGACTCGGTTCAATCTGCAGAACTTATTATGAGAATGTTATAACGATTTTCAATGATAACCTGAATTTGACGGCCTTGTTTGATAATTAGGATAAACTTTGAATCTATATTGTATTTTTGCCTTGGAACCTGTCTGTAATTTGATTGAATTTACATTTTTCAGCGCCTTGAAACATTTGTTGTCAATTGGCATGATAAATAAATGTCGGAATTTAATGAAAATGTTTCAGTTAAAGGTTAGTTAACTGTTTGCTGTTCCAGGATTCCTATTTTTAGCAATAATAAACTTTTAAGACAGAGCAGCCTTAGCAGATAGGCTTAATGGCTTCTAATTCTGCAGCTCTCTTATAATACGACTATAGGAGGCGCTGTTCTCTATCTGCATATTGTTTTCAATTTCTTTTCTCAATATTCAGATTCTCAATCATATATGGAAATAACTTCACTGACAGTAACATAATTTAGTGAACAAGCTGGGTTGTTTACTATTTAGTCATAGTTTTTATGTTTGAAATTATTTTTAATATAGAAATAAAGTAATTTATGATCAAATCAAAACGTCAATGAAGGATTTGGGATTTTTTTCAAACAAAGTAGAATTTTATTTCTTTAGTTATTTTACAAAAAGAAATCTAAAGAAACTATTTGGAAACAAAACACTAAACCTTTTTTTAAGCAGCAGTAAAAGGTGAGCCTTTTAAACTTGAAGAAACTGTTAAGAATCAGTTATTATGCTACAGGTTAATAAAGGTAAAACTGTGATGTGGATAAAATCAGTATTTACTTACATATGGGGTTGGAGATTGCTGGCAGTTGTGTAGCCGAATAAATAAGCTTCTTTAATAAATACTAAATAAAAAGAAAATAAAAAGATATCCATTTCCTCTTCCAGGACGTTTTCTCAGTCAATTTTTGTTCTCAAAGTTCATTTAGGAGCATACTTCAGTTTAACTAATTAGTCACCACCAGAACATAAAAATCCAAATCCTCCACCTAAAGAAAGTTCCAAACAGCGTAAAAGTTGGTCCACGCAGGAAATCGGCAAACCATCCCAGCGTCCCTTCTTCTGCTCACAGCTGGTGTTTGGCACTGAAGGGAAACTTTGCAGCTCACCTATAACTCGTGTCTGCAGCTGCTGAAATGAGGGATAAAACCTCCCACAGGATGGCTCTGCACGTTCCTCTCACTGGGCTGTTTGGAGAGGGTCGCGTTCTATCCAAACCTTGCATTCTGGGAAAGTCACAGGAGATGTGCGCACAAGTGGGGATCAGATCAGAGATCCCAGTAGAAGTGACATAAAAACTTTTACAGTCAGTTTTGGGAATCATTTACACAAATGCATTGTTTCTTTCCTCCGGAAAAACAATCCCCCTCGCCTCAGAAGCTCTATATGGTCGTGGATCGTGCGCGTATCCAAGACTTTGCGCGTACTGGTTCGATTTAGAAAAAAGGTATGGTGAAACGGTGTCTCTATCAAGCTTAAAGTTTGGGGGATATTTGCGGCTGCAGCAGAGGGACGTCTGCAGCGTAAAACAGCTGATGGAGCAGAGAAAGGGTCAAGAATCTTATCTGGTCACTGCTGCTCCACAAACAAAGTCTGCATTGCCATCATATGTGTTCATGACCCAGAAGATTCCCGGGTCAGAACAGCTTTACCAGCTTTCTGCCAGCAGTGTTCTGAGGTCTTGTTTTATTTATATATATATATATATATATATATATATATATATATATATATATATATATATATATATATATATATATATATATATATATATATATATATATATATATATATATATATATATATATATATATATATATATATATATATGTGAATTTAATATATGCACAAAAGCTAAATGAGGATAAGGATTGTATATTGAAGAACAATGATTAAGATACCTGTAAATCAATAAGAAATAAACAGAAAGTTCTATAATTTTTTTAAAATAGTAAAACTCCTATATTCATTTCAAGCTGAGCTTCTAGACCATATTTACCAGGGGGTCTAAGGTTTTTTCTTCTTTCATTGGGGCACATAACAAAAGATTAACACACACACACACAAAGGGGGAATTATATCACTTAGTATATTAGGTGAGCCAGGAAGCCAACCCTTAGCAAAAAGTAGTTTATTCAAGTATACTAAAAGTGCACTAATTTCATACTTAAAATCAGGCAGTGCACTTAGAGTTTACTTATTCTAAACTATATTTCATATACTTAACAATAGTATAGTCAAGTGTACTTGACTATACTATTGTTTACTTTATTGTTTACTAAAGTATACTTAAAGTATACTTTAGTAAACTTAAAATGTTTCTAAACTTATACTTAAGTATTCTTAATATAACATACTTCGAGTATACTACTTTTTGCTAAGGGAAGGGTGCAGACCCATGATATAACATGAAAGCTGTGGTCCTATCTTAATATGACTGAAGCCTAAAGTAAAATTTCTGAATTTCTACATAATTTATTAAGTTAATTGTAAAGATAAAAGATTAAATAGGTGTAATGAGCTGATCAGACAGACATCGAGTCTGATTTTTTTTACATTTGTATTTCCATTAATGCTAAAATTTTAACTTCAAGTGTATTAGATGATGAGACCAATAATTTTTTTTAAGACAGAAATGTTTAAGCCATATAATTTAATTCAATTCAGTTTATTTATATAGTGCCAATTCATAACACATGTCATCTCAAGGCACTTTACAGTTCAACCAGATCATACAGTCAAATTGATTCGAAGTTTTCTATCTAAGGAAAACCAGTTGATTGTATCGATTCTTTGACTCGAAGGCAATTCCTCACACCTAGCATGCTTGCAGCGACAGTGGAGAGGAAAAACTCCCTTTAACCGGAAGAAATCTCCAGCAGAACCAGACTCGTGTGAGGGGCCATCTGCTGAGGTCGACTGGGGTTTTAGAGAGACAGAAGCAGACACACAGTAAGAAGCAGAGATACAAAAGGCAACTGTAAACCAGGTCCACAGGCAACCCTGTCCAGGAAACACACAGCCAGGCAGACGAGCTCCAAGCCAGCTCCCATGTCAGAGGATGAAGAGAGCACATCCACCCAGTCACAGTCAGAGAAACAGGACTACTCTAAAACACAGACTGATCTCGAACCTCTATAAACAGAGGTGTTGATGGCAGCAGCACAGCTGATATTTCTCCAGGATGGTGTCACAGTCAAACAGGAGCAGACCAGATGAAGCTACTATGAGAAAAAGGAGAGAGAGCATAACATAAAAGATTGAGATTGGGAGAATAAAGATAGAATGAAGCAGAATGATGAAAAAGGGGTCCCTATGTCCCCCAGCAGTCTAAGCCTATAGCAGCATAACTATAGATATAGCTCAGGATAACTATAAGCTTTGGCAAAAGGAAATCATGACCTACACAACTGTGGAGACAATTGGAGGAATCATGGATAACCGCAGCTTTGATGAAATAATAGCAACACCAATGGATGAATTAATGACTTTAGGTCAGACAAACCAGTGGGGGAAAAAAAGCTTATATTGTATTTAATGACATATATAATGTATAATTAGTGCTTATGTCTTAAAAGAGTTTAGGGTTGTTTTGCAAGGAATGGACTGCAGCCACCTTACACAAATATCTCCAATACATTTTATGGTGTCACTGTGATTGATTGGCCATCAAACTCCATGACCAAAATCTCATATGGAACCAACTGCACAGATGGAGTAAGCTAAATTGATACAGGTCCATAGGCTTTTTCCAATTCAGTAACATTCAGAATTTTTGAGAAACTAATTTTTTTGGGTTTTCATTGTGTGTAACGATAATAATCTAACTTAGAAATTAGCTGGAAAGCCATTAGAAATATTAATCAACGCATCAAAGCAAAAATGATAAATTAATCATTATAATAATGGTTTACTAAATTAGAAATTTACTCCATTAATTGGAGTATGGGTTTGTCTGTAATTGTTTTCTATCTGCAACTACTTTAGTGGTGCAATTTTAGCTTCAGTTAGTTTATATTCTGTGTAAAGCTTACTACTAAGCATGTTTCCATTCCAACTATTTATTGTTTACTTGAAAAATACCGTCAACAGATTAAATTGGATTAAACTGGGCTGTCCATCAGAGACTGTTTGTGTGGCGTGTCTAAAACAAAGATTTGCCGCCACCTTGTGTTCCGAAATATGTACTACAACTATACGATGCAAGCAGATAAAAGGGAGAAAAAGCTAAAAGAGCTGAACAAATATTTACATGAGTCTGAAACTACAGGAAGTGGTCATAAAGCGAACCTTGGTCCTTTTTTTTATGAGTAACCTTGAAAGCACAGAGCCGCTGAACAAGCAGGTGGTAAAATTTACACGGAATTATTTGCGTTTCTTCACCGACAGGGTAATTTTACGACGCTCCCTTATTATCCAACCTTTGCCCTTCGTCATAGGCTAGCTGCGGTACTGTAGCATGCTGTGGGCAATAACAGGCGCACTCTGCACTGTCAGGCGAGCCAACAACATAAGAAATATCCTCGTTCCTCTCAGAAACATGTCTTCATCCCCAGTTAAACGGCCTGTCACCCTGCTGGGAACCATGGCGTTCGGGGGACGAGCCGACGCCGAGCAGAGCAGAGGGATGGTGAAGGCTTTCCTGGACAGGGGGCACGGCCACCTGGACACAGCCTTCATGTATGTGGATGGGAAGTCGGAGGCCATCATAGGGGACATGAACCTTCCTAAAACAGGTAGACTGTAGGCATTTATCACACCAATGCAAGCTGAGTTTTTAAAGTCACACAACTAGATTGTTTATGCTGAATTTAACAAAAAAAAAGAAAGAAAAATCGGTCGAAAGAAAACAACAGGCTGCATTTCCAGACACTTATTTGCAAACAGAAAACAGCAGAAAAAAAAAACTCTTGAAGAAAATGTTGTAGTTTTGTCTATGACCACAGGGTGGCAGTAACCTACCATTTTTATCAAAAGCCCTCTCTAGCCATTTTATTTCTGTATTTGGTAAATAAATCAACGCAAACTAACAGGGGCAGAGCTAGATGGGGGGCCAGGGCCTTAGCCAATCATTGTCCACCCCGTGGCCACCCCTGCCATATATACAGGGTTTCTGCGGCTCATTAAAAGTCATCAAATTATTATTTTTTAAATTAAGGCCTTAATTGGCATTAAAATTCACTAAAGTGGACGGGAGCCACAGTGGAGGCTGTATGCTATGCTTTGTGCAGGTGGTCTGGAGCGCAGCGGGGTGGAGCGCAGCGGGGTGGAGCGGAGCAGTGCGCTGATGGAGTATGTGGGATTTCGGGGTTAGCATGACATGTTGGTCATGTTGCTGTTTGCATTAAAAAAATGTGTTGCACAATGCTTACACACTGTTGCACTTTTATCCACAACTTTCTTTCCGCCGTCATCGTAGGTCACTCTAAATGCAAAGTGGTCCCATACAGCAGACCTATAAAGTCCTGCTGGCGCGTCTTCCAACTCCTGTCAGGGGTTTAGGTTAAGGATTTTTACCACTTGCCCTTTGGGCAAGTGACTTTCTCATTTCATTTGCCCAGAAACAATTTTTACTTGCCCAGTATAATGTTTGATAAATATAGTTCCTAATATTCATTTTTGTATATATATCAATGAAACATGTTTGCTTTTTAAACGTTTTTTGTAATTCAATATTTTTAAATTTTACAGGTTCCTGGTGTGTATATGCATGAACTCAAGCCTACATTACCATGTTAACATGCCTTTCAATCCTTCCTGCACATTCTTTTCAAACTAAACTTTGCTTTAAACTGTTGTGTGCTTGGAAAAATACAAATTGTAATGTTAAAAATCTAAAAAAAGAAACTTGACAGGTTAAAAGCTTAAGATAAATCACAAGATAGAAGTCAATGTCACAAATAAATAACTTATTTTAGTCACAGTATGTTCATACAAGATAATACTATTAATATAATGTGACTTTTCTAGAGAATCATTATACAGTTATTTTATACAGGGTTTCCACAGTCTTACATAATTTCAGAATTCCCTGACTTTTAACTGACTCAGGATTAGTTTTCCCTGACAAAATAAATGCAGCAACAAGACAATAATAATAACATAACGGGTCACCAATTTAACATGTTTAGCTCTATAACATTTAAATGCACCTCTCCAATGTCTGAGAGAAAAAAATTAATGAACATTTTTTAATGTATGACCACTGTACAGAAGACTGCCATATGATAGCGCTTTCTAGCTTGTTGGTCGTTTTGGTAACTACATCAAAATTACCGCTAGGTTGACAAAAATCACGCCATCTGGCTGAAAATCTCGCGGCGTTTTCAAATCACGTGAGAATGTGTACAAAACAACAAAAATGG